CGTCACACACTCTAAGTCTTTCTTAAGCCCGTGCAGCTACATTCTAGAAGATGACAATTTCTATCGACATGCGTTGGAGACCTATTGTGCTGATCTACATCTAGGACATTGACTTAAGTGTCGCTGCGTCCGTTATGGGGGTCTCGACGCGGTCTATTTTTCTCATTGGGGCTGACTGTTTCGTCGTAGAGGTAATGTGATACCAAACACGCGAATTAACACACACACACGTAATAAATTAGGAAAAGCATCCGGCTTCAAATGAGAATAGACCTTAGTTACTTACCGATTGGCTCGTGAAGGAGCAGGACAGTGTGCAGGCAAGCACTTGTTCAGGTCAACAAGCTGGGAAAGAAGTAGCCGGGCTTTGCCTTGTCGCTGTACTTTTGCGTTGTAGCTGCAGTTTTGCTTTGTTATCGGGTATGATTAACTTATTTTTAACGTTGGGCTGTGTTCTAGCTTTAGATCCACGAAATAGATTTGTTATTGTTTTGGAGGTGCTATTCATAAGCCAAAGTTGATACAAAGCACAAAAACTCGTACAGTACTGCACCCCTTTCTCGCGCCCTCGTACCTTTGATAAACTTCCGGATATTATGCCACTTTTTTCAAATATGCTCAGGTTTCTCCGCTGAAACCTGATGTATTTTCAAATCCGATTTGGTACATCCCGCGAAAACGGAGTGTGTTACTGTAGCACATCTCGACGAATCAGGTCAGGAATTAATCACGCGCACGCATTCAACCACATGATTACAAGCTCTAGTGCCCTGGTGGTTTACCGAATCGAGCCAAGTGCGAGGTTTCATATTCAGTGGTCATTCCCCAACTTCCAGCGCAGTAACCATGCAGCTCGTCAAGGGACTTGTTTTCGCCACCATTGCCATGATGTGCTTCGCTTCGGCTGATGGTGCCACCCCCACTGCTGACGTGAAGATGAACGCGCCTAAGCCTCGCAAGCTGTATTACGTTCGTACACGGAGCCCATACAATCGCAACAACCCTCCGTTACCCCCCTCCTCAGCGTAAGGATCAAGTCTTGCACCAGCAAAGTCTGAGAACGAAGTCCAAATACTACGTGTCACTTTGAATGTAGGCACCTCACTTCGATTGTGTTTGTTTTCTTCTCTCAACTATCTGTACGGTACTGCTTCTAATTTGGACATTCTACCGCAGCCACGCTGTCCAGAGAAACTCGGGCTTGGGGATCAGCTTTGAGCATTTCTGCAACCTTGTCGCGCAATTCAGGTGATATGGAATGCTCCGTCATTATTTTTTCAGCTTGGGTCCAGTCCAAAGATAACGAGTCCAACAACTGCAATGGGCGCTTCTCCCGAGCAGCACCATCGTACGGGTGTTGACCTGTCAGAGCCTGGAAGAGCGCTATACCGAGACCGAAGACGTCCGTCTTGGGTGTGGGTGGAAGCAGCGCGTCTTTCACACGCTCTGGTGCCACGAATCCGGGAGTGCCGGTCATTTGCTGGTAGTGATGGGCATCTAGCAAGTTATAAGCCCCTTCGAAGTCAATGAGCCATACTTGGGAGAGATCGTGGGAAACCAGCACGTTCTCCAGATTTAAGTCGCAGTGAATGATACCCGATCGATGGACAGCTTGCAGTAGCTCCGTCATCCGTGCTAATAAGCGCCACCCTTCCTCTTCACTCAGCTTCCCATCATTCTGTCGTCGTCGCTGTCGCAGTAGCTGTAGTAGAGTGCTGCCAGGATAGTGGGGCATGATCAAGAGAATCTCTTCTGTTGTCTCGACTATTCGATATCCTGCCACTAAACGTACATCTCGAGCAGCCCGTGAGCTATACAGAGATCGGAGTATCTGTAGCTCATGACAGTCTCGTTCGTCGCAATTTACCGCCAGTACTTTGACGACAAATCGCTGTGAGGAAATCACATGCTGCACAACGCGAATATTCCGTCTTCGAGAACGTTTCCGTTCTTGCTTTACTGCTTGGACATCTCGACTCCATAGTGCATGCTCTAGCGCTTCTCGAACGATTGAACACCAGATATTTGCATCCGCAGTAGTTGCAAACCGAATCCGTAAACGGAATGCAGGGGATTCTGCACTCGATAGCTCAATTCCTGTTGCAGCAGAAGCTTTCCCTCGTTTGTCGTTCTTTGGACCACCTGAAGTGGTAAACTCGCAATTGGTGCTCAATGCCAACTCGTACGTGGCCTCCGGTCGTGCTTCGGAAGCACTGAGGTCAAATGAGGCTTCAGTATTATCCTCAACATAGACCGCGAGGGTGGGCTTTGGTCCTGTACGCAGCACGATCGTGCGTTGTTGGAATCGATTTAAACGCCATCTCGACCCGAAGAGTACGCGAACTCCTCGCGCAACATACTGAGCGCGTAAGATCGGAAGCTCGTCATAGGCTCGATGTATGTGTTGTGCTTCCGATTCTCCACTGGTATCCACATGTCCTGTAATGCTCCCAGCGGACGACGATACTATGGAGGACACCGAACCACGCCCACCAACAGAACGACGACAGTATTGATCTTTTCCTTTGTAGACGACTGCAACCGGACAGTCGGGGCATTGGACACAGTTCTTGGTCGATTGATGGTCTCTAGGAGGCACGCGGGACAACATCCTTGGCTCAGATGTGCAATGCTGCACTCCAGAGGTTCAGCAGATGGCTGCACACCACGTTGCGCCCGTCCTGCGAAAAATAGAGCATGCCGAGAATAGATTCCTGAAAATAGGCGCTGAAAATAGTTGCTACATTGCAACGACCGGAGGAGACGTTACCGGTATCATATTTTGGGGGCCTTGCATCGACGAATGATCGACTCAAAACGCGAAACAGTTTCCAGCAAATTGGTCTTATCTACAGTTGCGGTATCCTATCTGTTGCACAGCTCCATGAACGTCGAGTCACTTACTCAAGTACTTGCCCACAACGACTGGCGACGCGAAGGCAAGCAGGAGACAGCGACAGCCGTGTCAGTCGCTGACCGCACACGTCAATTAAAAACGGCTGTTTCTGCTCGGGCAAGCTTCGCCTGCTAAAATGACGTCGTAGGATTGCACGGCAACGTCAATCGTCACCAAGCACCACTGCAGTGCAGCGCTTCAGCCAAGGGAAGGCCCTCGTTCTGGAAAGGAGTTCGCCAGACGGACTTTCGTGTCGGACATCAAGGAGAAGTCGCTGCGCGTGTGATCTTGGATGCGCCGTAATTTCGAGTGGCCCGCAGTACTAACTGTAAACAGAAACACGAAACGGGTGCGATAGAAACTCCAATCGTCGAGCGGGAAAATCCCGCTCGTAATGCTTGCAAGAGTTAAAGCAGACGCTACCAGCACGATAAGCATTATTTTAATTTAAATAGACAGTAGACAACAGCTTTCATTGCTACATTATTGGGGCTCCATTCGAGCCAACTCGATACTGGTTTGGTGCGGCGCGGTATTTGACGCTATTCGACTCGACCAGTGGGCCGGAAAGTTGTGTTTGAGGAAGACCGAATTTAACCGCACAAAGACACCGAGCGTTCCAGTCCTTCAACCTTGATAAGGAAGCGCACGTGCACATAAAACGAAGCAGGCCTTTGTTTAATGCTCTCCACGAGCGTCACTTTAAAAATATATTGAGCAGTAGGCACCCACTTGATATTGGTCTGCAGTGGAAACTCCATTGTGGAGATTTCAAATCAATTTTAGTGAGCATCACCCCAAGTCAAGATCACCCTGACAATACCAAGTTGAAGTGGGCGAGGCGAGTCGCGAAATACCACAAGCTGTACCGAAAAAGGTGGACCTCACATGAGTTTTTGGAGGCTTATAAAGTAAGAAAAATAATTTGGTTTCTGTCTAGACGATACATGTAGTAAATACTTGTACGTTGCAGCTCGATGGTGTCGTCAAAGCGTTCCGTCCTCTTTGTTTAACAAAAAAATGTAGATCGGACACTGTAAATCGAGGGAGTGGGATGACTGCTAAAAAAAACGCGTTTTTCAGCGCATCTTTACTCGTCTTTGATTGGTCAATAAGCCGCGATATATTACATGCAGCCGTGCCACCGTTATTTTTTTGGTCATAATCCAATTGGCGCCGAAGAGCTCAAGTCACCGGAAGAACGCTATACACACACTGTAATCACAACCGTCCGACATGGTGTGCTCGACATCAACGTTGATGGCGAGCGTCATCTCGGCGGCACTCGCAGGTGCCGCGATCGGCCTTGTACTAGGTGCGCAACGCATCTCCACGTGCCCCAAGGAAGGCTCGCACCATGGCATGATGCGGCGCTTCACCTGTCTGCTGTGCCGCAAGAAGAAGAAGGGCTTCCCAAAGCGCCTGATCCTGGTGCGCCACGGCGAGTCCGAGGGCAACATCGACCCGCTACTGTATGGCCGCGTGCCCGACAATGCTATGCACCTCACGGAACTCGGCTACGAGCAGGCGGTGGCGGCTGGCAAGTCCATCAAGAAGATCGTCGGGAATGAGACCATGGTACGCAATCTACTGATTTCGCAGGACTAGTATGATATAATGACTAACGATATTTTTTGTGTCTTTTGCAGCGCTTCATTGTGTCGCCATACGTGCGCACGATCGAGACGTTCTGCGGCATCCTGAAGGCTTGGGGCTTCGAGGGCAAGTCGATCCCATGGTCCGAGGAACCCCGTATCCGTGAGCAGGACTTTGGCAATTTCCAGGAACCCATGAAAATCCGCGAGTGCAAAGCGCAGCGACGGCGATTCGGCTCTTTTTTCTACAGGTTCCCGAGTGGAGAATCGCCTGCCGACGTGTATGATCGCGTGTCGAGCTTCCTGGAGTCGCTCTACCGCATGTTCGAGAAATCGTCAGAGGAGAACTACGTATTGGTGACACATGGCGTGGCTATCCGCGTAATTTTGACGCGCTATTTCAAGTATCGTATCAGCGAGTTCGAGCTGCTCCAGAACTTCCACAATGGCGAGTTCGTCGTGCTCGAATTTAACGAGTGTCAAGGCAAGTTCATGCTCAAGACGATTGTGTCCAACCACGTGCAGATCCACGAGGACGGCAGCGTGTCCGTCGAGACGGATGAGACCGCGCAGCTGCGGATTCACCCGAGCGACACCATGTCGTCCATACCGAGACCGTACTTGACATCTCCGATCAACCACTTCCGACACCCCCCGCCCCCGTCTCCACCTACGTCCAGTACGATGTCGTCGCCTCGACACGAGAATGGAGAGATGTTCCCGTCGTCACCCACGTCGTCCAGCACGTCCAAATCTGTCGATTACTCCTCGCACATGCGTCCTCCGCCGATCACCGTCAACGAACCCATGCAGCGTGGTATGCAGTGATCAGAAATTAGGACGAAAATAAGGGATGTATTTATGCAAGCGATGTTTATTCCCCCAGAATGCTTAGAAAACCAAAACTACTTGACTTCGTTAAGAAATCGAAACTCCAGATATAGTAGCCTATGATAAAACATCTCTCCAATTACATCATTCGATTATCTAGTTTTGCCACGTGTAGACCGAAACCTATTCGACTATTTGCCACGTACGAGCGATGCTGCCAACGCTGGACGAGCTGGTGCCGCTGCCGGCCGAGCTCAAGATGTATCTGCTGCAGTTGACGCTCATCGGTGTCGTCAGCTACGCGGCTGTGGCTCTGTTGATCCCCATAGTGGGTCACCGTATGCCTGCGAAGCTGTCAGGAAAAGATCTGTGCAAACGCGGCACTCCAGCAGGAGATATCCCCATGTGAGTGAAGTCTACTCTCCAACGGCCAACATTCTGTACTAACACTCTGCGTGTATCTGTTGCGTACAGTCCAGAGGCTCTCGGTATCGTATCGGGACTCTTGTACGTCGCAGCGCTAGTTGTCACTGTGTTAACAGTGGTGGACAACGCCGACGTGAAGCGTATGATGGCTTGGGGCATCGTCAGCATCCTCTCCATGATCCTACTGGGCTTCACCGACGATCTATCGGACCTCCGTTGGCGTCACAAGTTGCTCTTCCCACCGCTGGCTTCGCTGCCGCTTCTCATCAACTACGCTGGACTCACAGCCGTCGTACTGCCTAAACCGGTCCGGTTCTTGTTCGAGAAGGATACACTGCTATACACGGTGCTAAATCCTGTTGTACCGCTCAGTGACGGCGGTGAGATCGCCGAGCTTGGACTCTTTTACTACCTATACATGGGCATGATGGCAGTATTTTGCACCAATGCAATCAACATCTACGCCGGTGTGAACGGCCTGGAAGCAGGACAGTCGTTCGTGATTGGCGCCGCTGTTGTCGTGCAGAATGTGTGGCAGATTCTGCTCGGTCACGACAATGAGCACTTCCACTACCTCTCGCTTATGTTCATGGTACCGTATCTGGCGACAACCCTCGGTCTGCTCAAGCACAATTGGTACCCGTCGCGTGTCTTCGTTGGCGACACTTTCTGCTACTACGCCGGTATGACCTTCGCTGTATGCGGCATCCTGGGTCACTTCAGCAAGACGCTGCTACTCTTCTTTCTTCCGCAGGTCCTCAACTTCCTGTACTCGCTGCCGCAGCTGTTCAAGATTGTGCCTTGTCCGCGTCACCGACTGCCCAAGTTCAACGCCAAGACTGGACTGCTAGAGCCTTCTACCATCACACCCGAGTCCACACGATCCAACTACACGATTATCAACCTCTTCCTGGTTGTGTTCGGCCCCATGAAGGAGAACCACCTCGTGTTGGCGCTTCTGACGTTCCAGGTATTGTGCTGTGGCTTGGCCTTCTACATTCGCTACGGCATCAGTGGCTACTTCTACGACTTTGTTCAGTAGATAAAGGGAACGTGTTTGATCTTTTACTGCATTTCAGTCCTGATTAACCCCTATTTGACCTAATAACCCATCAATTAACCCACAGGGAACCTCGAACTCCAGTCGCATTACCAAGTGACCTGGGACGCCGGGGTGATCACTTCCTCTCTGATTTTCAGAATGGACTTCTTCGGCTGCGTTGTCTTGTTCGGCATAGGCAGAGGCTTGGGTGGAGAATTGTCATCCACCTCAGCACTCGAAGTCACTGTATTATCCGTAGATCCTCCCGTTGCAGTGTTATTCCCAACAATTTTACTGCGAGTAGTAGCGAACAGATCGATGACAGGAACGTGCTGACTAAAGTGCATCAGCTGAGGCTTTCCAAACACCATTCGTCCCTGCGTCACCCCATCGTTCTTCTCCTCGTCCTCGCCGTCCTTGTGCCTTTTCAATGAGTCCTCATAATCGCGATTAATCTTCGCAGCCAGGGACTCAATCACCTGCGTTTGACGCACTGGACGACGCATATCCTCCGATCCCAGCGAGTTAAACTGAGGCAGATACACCACCACCTCCTCGCCTGGATCTTGCTCTGCCTCATCAGTTTTATCCGTTCCAGCTCGCAGAGCTTCCAGTCGCGCCGTCTCTTTCTGCTGCGGAGTTAACTTGGCTGTTGAGCGTGAAGCCACGTGAACTTGTCCATCAGTAGCCGCTCGGCTAATCTGAGCCTGTTGCTCCAGAAGCAGGTCACGAGCTGACCGGTTAAACGAGCGGTTCATCGCTGTTCTAGCCCACTTTTTGATGATCCATTGTGCCAAGTCTCCATACACAAGCTCGATTTGACCTGTTGAGTGGCTGAGTTTCTCGATTCCTCTCAAGGTGCGAGCAATGTTCGTCTTTCTAAGATGTTCTTCCTTCACTCCAGGCAGCATCGCCAGCACCTTCATGACAAGCAACGAGGCAGATCGAGTACTATCAAGGCGGAACCAATGCGTCAACATTTTTTCGAGAGCTTGAAGTCCATCGGCATCCACAAACGCCACCAGCGCTTTCTTCGGCTACACCATTAAAGAAATCAGTTAGCAAGCCAATAAATCGTAGGCCTCTTCTCGATGCAGCCATACCTGCAGATCCTTGTTATTGAGGATCACTTTTTGCTTCTCGGTGCAGTTCTTGGCCACCTTCTTCTGGCTTAGAATGATCCTCAGCACCTCTCGACATATAGTATACGCCGTCTTGCGACTGTCAAACTTCTGCGTGTTCAGCGGCCTCTCTTTCTCCTCATCGTGGTGGTGATGCTTCTTTTTCTTCTTGGATGACAGTGACTCCGCTGCGTCGTGCCCTCCCGATCTCTTCCTCTCGGAATCTGATTCCTTGTCATTCAGCATGAGGTTCTGCTTGACCTCATCGATTGTCATATCTGAGTACAGACCGTCGGAGAAGAGCACTCTGAACCTCTTAATGTCTGCAAAGTATTGTGTCACTTGGCCTGAACTCGTGAGCGTCTTGCCCTCGTAGCTGGTGGAGCTCTTAGTGACAGTAGCTCCTAAATACTGATTCGGGTCTGATTCCTTTTCCTTCTGACGCTCTTCCGCTTCCTTGGCCTCCTCTTCGGGTGACTTGCGGATGACGAGCTGTTGTGTTTGGCTGGCGTTCAGCACGTCTCGGTGGTCGTCGTTGTACACGAGCGTGTAGAGCCCCGTATCAGGGTCGAAGGCCTTGATCTCACCTGTGCGACCTTCGACGGGGTTGGCCACGCGCGTACCCAATGGGAAACGCTGTGGCTCACGCATCCGGACCTGGTGACGGAGGTGGTTTGAGAGAAATGTGCGTTAGTGATGTAGTGGCAGGAGCAGAACTAGTTCAGGACGTACCATTTTATTTATTTATTTATTTTTTGGAGCGCGAGCTAACGGGAAAAAAAAAAAACGAAAACAACCCACCAAAAATTTAATAGATTTTTTTTCGTCTGAATTACCCCCCCCCCCACAGAACTATTATTTCGAAAACAATTATTGGGAGAATAATTGGAAAAGAAATAAACTAAGATTTCAATACTTTTGGCATTCATTTTTGCTTTTCTTGATGCAGAATTTTCACTTTGCAAGAAAAGCACTTTACGAAGGAAGATTCGAATATACTTATACAAGGTTAAATTAAATAGCTGTAAACGTATACAGATTAGATTAAATCTCTGTAAACTTATGTAAGCGTAAACGCCACGAGTACAAAGCTCGCGGCCTGCTTTGCGAGAGTCGCACCACAAGCTCAAATTCAAGACTGCTTTGTCGACGCGACAATAATTCCAAAATCTTTCGTGTGTGCCAGTCACTTCGGGCTTCTTCTTTTAACAGGATGATTGCAGCTCCTTCCACATCGTTTTCAGCTTTGCAGCCGAGTACACAGTGATATTTTCCGGGAAAAAAATACCCTCAAAAAGGGACTCTTCAGACACGAGGCCATCATATGTCTCACAAATTGTATTGAACGCGGCTGTAGCTTCCTCTCAAAAAGTTGATCCGCCTTCGTCAAGTCGTTTTCTGGTGAGTTGATCACCCGATGAAACGAAGCGATGGAAGAAATCTTCAAAAAAAAAATACATGCACTAGTCGAAACACCCAATGAGGGTACGGCGAGCTTCTTCTGATTTTGTAGACCGCTTCCCTACGCGTTGCTTCGTCAGCAATAAAACGATTCCGCCCTTGGACTCATCATAAACCTTTAGAATTGAAAATCTATCTTCGCAACGTAAAAAAAAAAAAAAAACGAATCGTAAAATTATCTTTTTTAACGACTATCCATATTTCATACGATTCGTAAATTTGTGGAATCTCACCAAAATTGCAGCTATAGTTATTACTATTTTGATACAAGTACAATAGATTACCGTTAATCTTATTCGATATTTGTCCTCGTCCTCCGATTCAGATACAAATATATTATGTCTTAATATACCGTAGTACAACTGTCTACTTACATTGCGACAAATAGGGCCGAATCTACTTGAATAGTTTAATTCCTCGTTGGGACAATAATACTGAAAGATCTGCTCTGGCGCAACAATTAATATTGTATAATACCATGTATTGAATTGGTCAAAATAGTGAATGTAAATCGTACTTTACTGAAAAAGTACTTAAGTACCGGACAGAAAATGTATCACCAACATAATAGCAACTTACAATTAAAATATTGAAATACAATGCTGACGGGAGCTCAATACTGCAATATATTGATTTCAATAATCGATTGTACGACGCTGCCCATACGCCAGCGTACGACACGTGCTCAACACTATAATACGTGATGCCGAATACAAGTCTAAGAACCAATGCCAGAAAGAAGCGAGTCATGCTGTACGATGCTGTGCACCAGTCACTGAGTCGAAAAAATAAAGTGGACAGCACTTTAGCATTAGTGCTTATTCCAGTATGAACTGCAATTCTCCACATGCTAGCAATCTACTACTTAAGTTTTGGATTACTGCAACCGGCATTGCAAATTCCTCACTCTGTTGCAATTCTACATGAATATTGCAATATTTCAGACATGGCCGTACAAGATCATGATCCAAATAAAAGAAATTTCAACTTTGTTCAACAACTTCTTCAGCTGCAGTATTTTATTCACATCGACCTGTGTGATCCGCACCTTTTTCCGCAGCCTCACCGTGTCGTTTCACCGGTTTCATAAGTTTTTGCTCTTCCTTTTCCTGTTTTGAACGACTGGTTTTAAACGTAAAACTAAACCTCCGAATCCGATTCGTAGTCGTCGCAAACCCCTAATAGTATAGTAGGCACCTTCGACGAAGTCTTCATCCCATCTGACAGCCCTGACGTTAGGTCTTCCGTCTTCGGTCACGTCAGCTGGCATTTGTTCGCAGAGTGGAGCTTTCAGCATCGTTGTGAGCGAGAAGAACATCGGCTGGAAGGTGCCGATGCAAACATATTTGGTCGTTGAGATCTGCAAGCTGGATAATGGATCCACACTGTTGAGGGAACCACATCTCACTCGCAAGACGACCAGCTTCTAGGATCTGCGTATGAGCGTCCAATATATGAGGAAGTGACATGACTAGAGATGCTTCATATTCGGGAAATTGTGGAAGTCCAAAACGGATACCAGGTATAGTCACTGGCATAGCCCAGATCATTGAAGATACCGGAGTTTACATACTTAGTTTCCTTCTTTATCTCCATGCAGGAACAGTCAAGAATTACTTTCATTTTCTTTGGGTCCAATGGTACCAATCCCTGACGGTGGTTTTGAAGAATGACTCGCCTCCTAGAACTGTGGATATAATCCACAGAACTTTCAAACGTTAATCCTGCTTCATTACTTTCGAAGTTTTTTCTCCTGAAGAAGTTCATGCTGCAGCATCTTAACACGTACGTTATGTACGCCCACCACGTGGATGGAGCAGTGGTGATCTAATACAGAGAAAGGCTTTACATAAGAAACAAGTATTTGTTTACTTTTCCATTTGAGTATAAGTTTCCCATTGTTAGAGATTAAACTGCGCTAAAGCCGCAGCAAACGCCTGGATCGGAGTGATCGGAGCTTTGAAATCCAAGTGGAACTTCTTGTCATTTACTTTGCCGAACTGGAGGTAGATAGGTCGCTCTGAATTCGGCGCTTCTCCGGGTCCCGCTCGAACGAGCTGGAAGTTTTTCACCGACGGAATGGAGACGCGGCCATTGAAATTGAGACGATAGAAGCCATTTTCGAAGACAGGATCCTTATTCTCGAATACCTGAAGAGACTGTGGAGGCGTGGGAGAATGAGTCACAGCGATGTCAGCGTCCGTCAGGCTTCGATGGAGATCAATGAGCATTGAAAATGAAGATAAACTGTCCCCGACTGTGAGGCCTTCGATCTCTTGACGCTTTGAAAGTGGTGGAAGAATGACGGTCAGTCGACGAGGCTCTGAAGAGTTGAAGGTGCTTCCAAATACCATTGCTCCAAGCTCCGTCTTTCGGCTGAAATTGCCAACCAATATGATCTTTTTTTTCGAGAAATTTGAACGCAGTTTGCCGATGTAGTTGCCGCTTTTCTTCGACAGTTTGGAGGATACTGCTACCGATCGTGTCATGTCGAAGAGATGGTAGTTGGACGTGCGGTTCTTCATCTTCTTCTCAGCCATTAGAAGGAGCTGGTCGTTGATGAAGAAGTGGTACTGGGAGCTCAGCATGGTCTTGACACGTACAACGTGTCCTTGGACGAGGTTCATCTCCGTTCCAGGGAACACTGCGAGTTTTGATAGTCGAGACAGATCCACACTTGTCGCTGTACCGGCTGGAGTTTGGAAAACAACAGCAGGTGTCGACGGCTTCACTGATTCATCTTCCAATTCACTATGCGAATCTTCGCCGGATTGCTGGGATACTTTTCTGCCTCGCGAAGAAGATTCAGGTCGTTCACTTGCTCTTCGTGCCTTGTAATTGTAGTCTGCGTCACTGTCATCCGAGTCGGAGTCTTCGTCTGAAGAGTACGCAGAGCCGTGACTTGCGTCGTCCCAGGCGCGCTCAGGCTTGCTCAGTTGTCGAGCGTCTTTGGTGTCATCGCGCGCAGCCTTCGGTGACAATCTCCTCTGTAAGATCGTTTTTCTCGTGTTGTTATCCTGCTTCTCTTCAACGTGATCGTCGTCATCGCCATCAATAGAGAATGGAACCACCTGGTTTTCATCATCATGCGCGTTCAAGTTTGAATTGGGTTTGGAGAGAGTTCCTTTGTCGCGAGTGGAGAGCGGAGCCAACATGCGGCCTCGAGTTGCCATAGTAAGAGGTAAATTGGTAACGACCTTGAGTAATAACGCTGTCGAGGTTTTGGAACTGAGTGAAACTCACTTGGGTGAGAGCTCTTAGCCAGCTGAAGTGCTCGAAATGGGAATATGTTATCGCTGAAATAACCGCTGAATGTCCTAATGCTAGCAAGAAACTTCCACGGACGCACTAATGATAGAGCACCGGTAAACACGCATCACTTCAATAGAAAATATGGAGAGTACGACTGCGAAACCCGACCACGAGTGGATCGAATCAAGGCGTAGGATCCTTGTGGGCTCGATCCTTGCTCCTAGTGACAAGGATCAGTTCATTGAGGCATCCTTTGCGACGCATTTCAGACGCAATCTCCCAGAACCCGGATTCTGGGTTGCCTTCAACCAGGCCTGCAGTTTTGCCACAGACGGAATCCCGTGGCATCAGCCCAGACAACTCATGCTCTCGTACTCACTTCCTCAGCAGATAAACGGAAAAGACTCACGAGTAAAGATATGAAAGATCACATACTTCATAGTTGAATTATTAACCTTATCAGTTGGTTTATAGGGCGAAACGATGATGACTCTTGCTGCTACATTCGGCCGAGCAAAGGTTGTGAGTATTTTGTGCCAAATCAAAGGCGACCCACGGATTGAGAACGCTAAGGTAATTCACTGGTAGTATCTGGTTGCAAGCATCTCAGTTCTAATGATGATACGTAGGGGTGGTCCACTGTGCATGTCGCTGCAGCATACAACCATGTCAACGTGTTGGAAGCCCTTTTAAACCTTGGTGTGAGCATGAACGAAGCTGACTCACGTATGGGCTACACTCCACTCCACTTGGCTGCATCTATCGACAATATTGAAGTGTTCAAGTTGCTGCACGAGTCAAAGAAAGCTGATTTCTGGAAGAAGGCGAAGAATGTGAGCTGAATGCATCGCTTTATCCAAGTTTGACCACTCTAACGATGCTATTGTAGGGCTATTCAATTCTCCACGTCGCCTCGACCCATGGGTCTGAAAAGTGTGTAAAGTTCTTATCAATGAAATTCCCAGACATGAAGTTCCACGTCGACGATATTCTCAAAGAGAGCCCAGCTCATAAAGCAGCGAAACATCTCCATCCTCACGTTTACAGTCATCTTACAACGCTTGGAGCACGAGATGACCTCGAAAACATCGAGGTTTGTTTAAATCACACGCGGGAGTATCATTTAGCTGCTCACCGCTGTTTTTGTAAGTGTCTAGGACGACACCGCACACAACATGTTAACACTAAGCACTCGGTACAACTTCTAACTTGCAAGTGTATAAATATTAATGAAAAATTGTTTCAACCTACACAGCGGCAGATTGCTTTGCAGCAGTCGACGTTGCGTTCTTCGAAATGAACTTTCGTACCAACTTGTAGCGTAAATCGTCGGTAGTCGCTGGTTTACAGACGTCCACGTGTGTTGCGTCAGAAATGGGAACAAACTCGCCGAAGCCAGGATTTGCCGACGCTGACGGCACCACCAACGCCTCCACACCGATAACAGGAAGACGACAAGGCAAACTCTCACCCACACTCAGACACGGGATCTCCTTCTCCTCGAAAACCTCAGAGCACCAGTCGTTCAGCATCTCCAAGTGAGGAGTACCGTGCAAGTGTTCAGTAACAGGATGCTGCGTGATCTGTCGAGGCTTGAAAGTCTGGATTCTCTGAGCTACGGGACTGCCGTGATGAGGAACTCCATAGAACACGACACCATTCACGTTGTCAATCAGGTTTGACTCATTCTCTTCTGAGTCAGAAGCCAATAAAACTTGTTTCAACAGGACTCCACCAAGACTGTGGGTCACAAAGACCACAGGACGATCTCCACAACCAACACGCGCCGCGTTGAGCTGCGACAGGATCTCGCTACCCGTTTCTTCGAAGCACATGGGTTTCCAGATAGACCCGGACGCTAGAAGTTGAGAGTCGTAGCCCACAGACAAGACCCGTGGGTTAAGACCTTCCTGCTTCATGTCGTCGAGTAACCATTGCTGAGCCCATACCGTATCTTCCTCCTCTCCACACGTCCATGTACTAAAAGGACAGCCCAGTAATCCATGGACGAAAACGATATCAACATCGTAATCACTTTGATGATCTCTGGTGCTTCCAGACAAGTGAAGTGGATGGATACCGTCGAGATATTTCACCTCCTTGTCCATATCTTCCCCTCGCTGCCGTGAGATCTGGTATCGTCGGTTCGAGCGAGCTCGATGGGCCATCGCTTCCAGTCGAATATCATCAGATTTCGTCCATTTCTCGAGCGATTCTTCCAGCTGATAGTCGTTCATCGTAAAGTCTCGAAGCGCTTCTGCCATATCGTCACATGCGAACAAATTGGCCAGTACACGAGCCGTCTCACGCTGCACTAGTTCATTCTCTGATCGCAGTAAAATCTGAAGAATTGGAACTCCACCGCGACGAATTAGTTCTTCTTGGCACTCTTTTCTCTCCATGACAAAAGCCAACGCTCGTAGTGCCTTTGCGTGGGACGCCTCGTATGACGAAGTGTCCGTAGTTTTGCCCTGAATGGGTCGAGTACGTGACCTCGCTTCTTGTACGCTGCAAGCTCCTTTAGCGACTTCAAGAGGGACTTTATCCAGCACAGAATCCAAGACAGCAATGAGCCATTCCTGGACAACTTCGTCCTTGTGAGAGCCATACGTTGCGATATGTTCGAGGCACAGCGCTGCTTCCTCGCGAATACTCTCGTCCCCGCTCTTTAAAAACGCCGTGAACAACTCGATCCAGCCATCGACGTATCCGTGCCTCAATACAATGTTAATATTCTCAATATCGTCGTCGTAAAGAGGCTCACCGTCTCCAGAATCGCTGACGAAAGACAGCGCGTCTTGGTCCAATACAAACACATTATCGGTTGCAGTAGGAGTGGAAAGAGAGCGAATTGCTTGGAGCAGTTTTGCGGTCACTTGACGGTCCGAGTCCTCAACGATTCGAGCTCGCAGAGTCTCCAGCGCTCCAGCACCAACCAGTTGCTGTTGTAACTTACGGTCAACACCTGCTAACTTGGCTACAATCTCGAATGAAGCACAAGCCAGAGCTTCATGTGACGAGCTCATCCAGTTCACGAAAGTCTTAGCGAATTTATCATGACGTCGCATCCTTTGAGCGACTGTTGTGTCATTGCTGAGCTCATAAATCAATCGAGCAGCTTGAAGTTGCACGAATTGCGAGCGTTCCTGGTCGATTCCAGCCAGTGCGTCCCATAACCTGTCGCTGTTGATGAGTTTTCGACACGTCTTGGCTGTACTATCATCGCCGAAAATCACTTTCCGCAACTTGTAGCGTCTGCCTACAGCTTCGGGTGTTGCAGCCTTCGTTAACCCCCACAACGCGAACTCCATATACTGGTCCGGTACGTCCGCGACAGCTAATGACAAGAGCGACGCGAGATTCGCTGGGCCGAAGTGGCAATTGTTGCTGTCGAGAGTAACCAGTTGATGCAGAGCGTCCCCCACTCTCGAGTCGTTATCGTGGACCTCAGCCAGATTCAGTAACGCCTGCTTGCCATATCGTGTCGCTCTCTCTGCAATAGCTTGAGCACATTGGGGATTGGTGGATAACAAACTCATAGCTCGATACAGTTCCTCCTCTAAATCTTCTTGTAATGAAAAATTGCTCTCCGTGTCGGACAATAAATTCACGAGCATGGAGAAACTGGAGCTGCCCAGAATTTGATCGGCGTCCCACCCGTTCCTCTCGGGGGAAATATCTTGTAACCAGTTCACTAGATTTTGATATACTTGGCTGTTTTTCATCGCGACTTCCAGAACTTCTTTACCGTCTTCCATCGTCGGTGTGAACGCTTGACGCGTGGAGGCCACAGAAGCGGACGAGAGCCAACACGCCACATCTCGGACTAAACTCTGCTGCAGTCCCAGTTCTTGTCTCGACGTGGCTTTCAACGTTCTCGCTCGAGTCTTTCGTGTTAAATGTCGCTTCATCGAATTGGGTGGAATTGTTGGGTCCTTTGCGTCGATATTCCGAGTTTCGTCGTCCTCGCCGAGATACATGAAGCCGGCACTGGCACTGACACTGGCGCCGGCTAATAGAAACAGTGGGCGTTTTGCAACGTGAAGCATTTTGCCACGAACTGGAAAAATGAGGAATGAGGAGAAAGTAACGGGCTGATCTAAAAGTGCAAGTTCGGCAATACAGTCGTGTTGGGATAAGCGCTGAGATGTGGAAGGGGAAAACACATGGGGAATCTGACGAGGCGGTGAATGTATCCGGTTGACAGCGTGTTTGAATCTGCTATTTTTGCTATTTTTGTTGTCACTAAATGCGGTCAAGCCTGTCATGGAGCTCAACGATAATAGCGGCATGTGCACACATCGCATGGCAATTTACAGCGTTGCAAGTATTGCCTAACGTTACATTACAATATCCATCGTATGGGGGCGTCAATGAGCTCATGACGTCACGACGTTTGAGTTTTATGCACACTTCCGGCTCAGATTTAACTGCATTCGTTCAGATGGCTACATTCAGAACGTCATCTCGATATCCAGCTTTACCACGGTGACAAGTCCACGACGGGATCATTCGTACCAGTTCACTGTCGCCTACCTGTATGAGGATATAGACAAGAGGAGCAGGCTGTTCGACATGAAATCCACCGTCAGCTCCGCTAGTACGCGATACGCAGGAGAGTGAGGTCGATTGCGCTCTCGTCGAACGGATACGCGCCTGGGGCGAGGTGGTCGTTGATCCAGGCGCGCGGAATGCGGATGTCTGTCAGGTACACGCCGCAGAGCACACCGCCAGGCGTGAAGCCAGCGATCAGATCGAGCCATTCGTTGCCCTGGAAGTTGTCGCCAGCCTCGTTCCATCCACGGGGAGGACGCACGTAGCGGACGTGCTGAAGGTGCCGCATCATGAACTTTTTGAGTGGCTGATAGATATCCCGACAGTGCTGACGCATTAAGAACTCGTACTCTGCCTCTCTAAACTGCGGGTTCAATGGCCCCTCGACCATACTGTCTGTATTCGTGTCACAGAAGCGGCAATACGCAGTGTCAGTAGCTAAGTTGACGTGAATATTCTGCCAATGCGCTTCCACCATGCCCGCCGGACTGCGTTCAGTTGAGCGGAAGAAACGCGAGCCAAAATTCGTCTCCAGCCTGTCCATCAAGCGCGTGAGTTCCGCCACATCCTTGACGTTGATCGGGCCTAGGGACTGTCCATTCTCCCTCACAATATTCAACTGATCTTCAAGCGCCGCAGCGAGAGAGAACACGACAGGTTGAAGTACTCCATACTGTCTGCGCTCGAAGTTGCGATCCAGTTGAAGCACCTGAAAACAGTGAGGCTGGATGCCTCGGTAGATCAAACACATGGCTTCCAAGAGATGATGACGAGCGTTGAGCAGGCGAGGAAGAGGAAGGTCGTTTGGCAGACCGTTGCGACTGCATCCGCAGCGATCACGATGACCCGCTGCGGTCTTTGCCGGCACTAAGCGATGCCAGTCGCGCAGACATCCTTTGCCGAAATGCACTTCCTCTCGGTCGTAAAAGGCTTTCAGACCTTGAGTTGCTACCGCATCGCGTACACCCTGTGAGATTGAAGGAGAGCAGTGTGCTAACAGGTTCAACGCGTCTTCTGGAGACAGGAAGGACGTAAGAATCAGCGGCAGCATTGCCACGATGTCTGATAGCGACGATTCATCTTCCTCTGGATTTATTTTGGTTCTTTTATTCCTCATCTCCTGTGTGTTGGTCTTGTTCATCGAGTTGCTTCTACTTCCAGGCGAATTTAAAAATGGGGAAGATCGTCAGGAAACTCCAAAAGAAATAATTTTCTAGAATTCGACACCTTGAGTTGCGCTAAAGTTTTTCAGCAACTTAGACTGCTTCAACGTGATCACGACTTCAACATCTTGTGTCTTGAGCCAGAAACCTAGAAGTCTATCATCATGGTGAGGTCCACATATCATACGACCGCAGCAAGCCTATATAACCCTGAAATTGGCCGCTAGCGATCTGCACAATACCAAAAACTCGCCCTAATACCAGCATAAATCGGATGAATAAACCTCCCCTCCTCAGTCCTCTGCGCGTTGCAAAGGCCTGCGCTCCACCACGGGCTTAAACGCTCCCAAAGCCAGTCGGTCGCTGATCATTCTGGGCAGAATCCGAAGATCCGTCAGGTAAACGCCACACAGCACTCCAGCGGGCGTGAATCCTGCAATCAGGTCCATCAGAAAATCTCCTTGGAAGTCATTGTTGGTGCAATTCCAGCCCCGACACGGTTTCACATATCGAACGTGCTTCAAATGCTGGAGCATGAAACGTTTCAGTGGCTGGTACAGCGCTGCACAATGCTGTTGCAGGAGTCGGGCGAAGACCTGCGTACACCTCTCACATCGATGCTTGGACGCGTGCTCTGTAATGAACTGGCAATAGCTACAGATCGTGGTCCCTGTTTCCAAATCCACGACGATACTGCGCCAATGTGCTTCAACGGCGTTCGCGGGTGTGCAATGCTGCTTCCTGCCGCTGAAGAACTGCGTGCCGACCCCTATGTGCACCGTATCCATGAGTCTCGTCAACTGCTCCACGTCATCTGTATCGATCTCGTCGTCCTGGATTTCCTCCTGCATTTTTCTACCCTTTGTCGTCTTGTATTCCTTTTCTTCTCGCTGTTTCTCAAGAGCCTCAGCGAGTGAGAAAACTACGGGCTGCATGGACCCGAATCGTGGAGTAGCGAACTGTCCGTAGTGCATCTGAAGCACTCCATTACACACTAGAGTGAACCCTTCGTTTGCTAGACACATGGCCTCCAGTAGATGCATGCGGGCGTTGTGCAGCCGAGGGAGCGGCAGATCTTTCGGTGGGGCGGGGAAGCACTCGATGCACATGCCTTCTCCGCCCTCGGCTTCCTCCGGTACAAGCTGGTGCCAGTCTGAGCAGCATTTCTGGCCAAAATGCACCGAGTCGCGCTCGTAAAAGACTTTAAGGCCGAAAGTGGCGAGAGATTCACTCAACTCGGATGTGAGTAGATTTGAAAGGCAACGCAGCAGCCGCGAGAGGTCGTGTGGCGTCAGGAACGGCACGAGCTGCAGATGGAGCAGCGTCACCAGGTCTGGCAGTGTGATAACGTCGGGGGATGGAGGTGCAAGGCGGCACGGCTTCTTCATATTCCGAGCGGCGGTCGCGGCACGGCGCTTGACCATGGTGACGAGTGCGGAATTGGGAGAAGGATGGGGAGTGATGGTCAAGTTCAACTTTCGGGGGGACAGATACGACCACCGAAAGAGGACATTTCAAGTCAAAAGAGTAGTGAAGTGATACGTACAATATGCACGTTATTCACAATGCTGATGCTCATAGCAGCTCGACACTCTCTCGCTCAATGTCGTCACGCTGGCAGCCATCGTTCCTAAAGCGGCATCGATGCTGACGTTGGAAATTCACCTTTTGTGTTGCATTACTGAATGACAATGTGGTTGACAAACTAACGCTTCGCCCAAGTCTACTTCGCCAGTTTCCCCGAACCAGCACATCGATCGAAGACTAACAGCAACTTCATCCACGCTTACTTAGTCTGCAGGACACCGGCGGCAATCAACTTCTCGATCTTGGCCATGATACCCGGGTTCTGCAGGTGACGCTGAGCGCCCATCGGGTCCGTCTGGAAATCGTTCAGCACGTTCTGCATCACCGGGTCGCGCAAGATAGCCTGGATTTCGGGGTCAGCCATGCCGTGACGAGCACGCTCCTCGTCGGTCTCGCCGCTCTGGATCTTGTACATGACATTCCGCAGTCCGTCGATGCACTCCTGGTGGTTCGGGTCAAGTGCCAGACCCTTCTCATAGCTCTCACGGGCCTTGTGGAACTCCTTCATGAAGCACTGGATAGCACCCATGCGAGAGTATGCCTTGACGTACTTGGGGTCGAGCTCAATGGCCTTCTCACAGTCCTTCTTGGCCTCGTTGAACGACGTCAGCTTCGTGTACGCAGCAGCACGGTTAGCGTAGTACACAGCACAGGACGGGTCGCGTTTGATGGCTTCCGTGTAGCGCTCGACAGCCTTGGGGAACTCGCCGTTCTTGAAGAACTCGTTGCCCTCGTTCTTGGCCGCCAGAGCCTTCTCCGGGTCAATGTATGCGAGTTCCTTGGCCTTACGCAGCTTCACCTGCAGCGCCTTGATCTTGCGCTCCACGTCCTTCGTGCGGTTCTCCATCTGTGCGCCTTCGTACGCGTCGATGGCGGCCGTCAGGTTCTCTTCCGTCTCGCCCTTCTTCAAGTGAGCATTGCCAATACGCACGTAGGCCTTGGCAATCAGCGCGTAGTCCGCGCGGTTGGCGCGTCCGACTTCAATGGCTTTCCTAAAAAAAAAAATAAAAAAAAATCAGTATCCAAAGTTTGAAAGAAACAGTAAAAAAAAACATACTTGCAGTCTTCGATGCAAGCGTCGTACTGGCCCATCTCGAGCTTCACCGCAGCCAAGTTGCTGTAGTACGACATGTTGGTGGCGTCCTTCTCGATGGCCTCATTGTAACACTCGATAGCCTCCGAGAACTTCTTCTGCTTGTAGAAGGCGTTACCGCGTTGTTTGGCTTCATCCGCGGCCTTCTTCGCAGCACGCTCAGCCTTCTCTTCCTCAGTCAGATCCTCCTCCATCGGCGTAGGCTCCGGGGCAGGCGTAGGCTCGGCTTTCTTCGGTGCAGGCGTGGCCGCAGGCATCTCCTCGTCCTCAGCGCCATCCATGTTGATGTTGAGTCCCATAAGTTCGCCCAGTACCGTCATAACGCGCGTGTCCTTAATGTGCTCGTTAATCTTGGACGGATCACGCTGGATCTCTTGCAACACCTTCACGAACTCCGGGTCGCCCAGCATCGGCGCCAGACGCGGGTTGGTCGCGATCTTGCCGAACATATCGGGTCCAAAGGCGTTTGCCAACGGGTTAAAAGACTGGGCGGCCGCCGCCTGCGCCTTCTTGACCTCCTCGATGCCGCTAAGACACGCAGCGTTGCTGGCGTCCACCTTAAGGCCGTCATTGTAGGCGGCTGTGGCCTCGTCATAGCGCTTGAGCGCGTGCAGCGCCGCCCCCTTGCGACTGTAGGCCTTGGGCCAGTCGGGCTTCGTCTTAATGCAGAGCTCAGCATCCTCGAGAGCGTGAGTAGCGTCGTCAAGCGACAGATACGCGGCCGATCGGTTCGAGTAGAAGACGTGGTCGTTCGGGTCCAGCGCGATGGCCTGCGAGTAGCAGTCCACAGCTTCCTTGGGGTTGCCAGCGCTCAGCGCCGCATTGCCCTTGGCTTTCCACTCAGCAGCAGTCTGTCAGATATGATAATTGCCAGTTGGTCAGTGAGGATGCAGAAATGGTGGTGATAATTATCAATGGAGACTCAACCTGTGCCATGATCTCTTTTTTGGCTTCTTGTAATGCTTTTCCGCAACTGAGCGAGTTCCAGTCGATGATCCTTTGGCCAGAAGGGTGAAATTCTGGAATTGTCCAGCTGACTCGACTAAGTGCGAATTAGTTGCATAAAATTGTACCAAGCGAATGTAGATCGCTTCAACATGGCAGAACCACATCAATCAGAATGATGATCTTATTTTTTTCTTTTCTTTTTTTTTGTTTCTAAGGGGCTTCATCGAGAGATTTGTCAGTCGCGGGGAAGAGTGTTGTTGCTGCTGTTGTATCTGCTGCACGTGGCTTGATGCGCAATGACTGGCTGATGCCGATCTGAGTGAGGGGCTGTACCAACGTGGCTGGCGTGACAACTCGACTTGGCAGTGCCGATTTCTTGAGACTACTACCGCTGATAGCAGATGCATACATTTTAGACACAACTTCGGCGTGATACCAAGAAAAAAGTTAAAGTACCTGGACTCGTGGAACCGCTTGAGCTCCTTGGTGACGGGTGTGGAGAAGAGATCAACCTCGCAATCCGTCGGATCTTGTGGCCGCATCTTGCGCTTCTGGCTCGGACTGCTATCCACCAGCACTGAATTGAGCATACCACGTCGGTTAAACCTTTTTGAACATTACCCCTGATCAAGTTATGAGCAATTGCAGCAGCGTACGGCAAGGAACGGATGATCTTAAGGCTGACAATTTACTGTGAGTGCCTCGTCGTGCTCCCTCTGGAGTTTCGTACAGCACGATGCCTGCTCGAATAGCGTTGGCTTTCTGTGAAGAAGACGTGGTAGTCTGTAATGAAGAGGTCGAGAAATCAACGGACACGGAGGGTAGCAAGGTGGGTGCAGCACTTCTCGTCGTGGTGTTCTGTACGTTGCTGTTATTTGAATCTGTGTGCTGTTCATCAGCCGAAACAGGCACCACATGCGCTCCAAGATGGCCTGGGGGAGGACACTGGTACTCGACTTCCCACCACGGCACGACGTCGCTGCTGCAGCTGCTGGACGTCGACGCCGGCGTCGACTGCCTCGTAGAGGAAACCACATCTCCACTGGTAGCACAGTCGGCGTCGATCTTCAAGGACAAACGCGATTTCCCCGAGGCGAATCCTTTCCTGGATCGTTGCGGACGAGATCCCAGACTTCGGTTCGGTGGGGCGGTGATCGTGGTGGAAGGCACGACTAGCAAGGACTCGCTGTCTACACTAGCGAGGCCTTCGCTGCGGTTTGAGGGGCTGTCGGGGCCTTTGGTGCTATCCATCATGGGCGCTAGTGTGTGGGGCGAAGAAGATCGATCTGTCTTATGCCTGATGACGCCCCAAGAAGATAGAGAGCCGGCCGTCGCCCCAAGAGGATCCTCGAGAGCGGCGGCGGCGTTCTAGGGGCCGCTGGCAGCAGTTGTGCCGGTCTGAGCGGCCGTGACATGGAACGGTTTCGTAGGTTCTATACCTCCCTCTGTAACTGGAGGCTTTCGAAAGCGAGGACGACGACGCTAAACTTATCCGATGCTGCATTACATGCAGTAAATCCTCGTCCTCTACCTGTCCTTGACTTATGTTCCTACAGAAGTTGCTGGATCCGGAAGATGAACAGCGACGGCGTATCCGACGTGCTCGGATCGTGCGTCGCAACCGAATCAAGCGTGAGGTCGCCAAAGGTCTGCCTGTTCGCAAGCCACGACTGCCTCGCGCCCTCAACTTGGACAGCGAAGCGGAGACCGAGGAATGGAGTGAGCCCAAGTCACCATTCCGACCCACGTTCGGTGGCAATTTGGACGGTTCGGAACAGCAACAGCAAGCGGTGAATCCGCTTCGTATTGCAGCACAGCAGTCGGCAAAGTCATTGTTATCATCTGCGGCTACCAAGTCACTTGTGCCAAGACCATTTGATACAAATGCGTTGCCAATTTTGCCCGAGTCGGTGCCTGCAGGTAGCCACAAAAGGATTTCTCAGCATATCAGAGCCAAGTGGCAAGAAGTTTACCAGCAGGTTGTTTTCAACCGTCACGAAGAAATTTTGACAAAAGATCCGAATCGAAAGTGGCGGCAAGAACGTTTTGGATTATTACTTTTCGCGAAGGGTGAATATGCTCGAGCTAGTGAACATTTGAGTAAGGCCCTCAGTCTCGGAGCCACGTCGAGTCTCTGTTGGCGACGACTTGCCGAAAGCTACTATCACATGTGGCAGGACGGTGGAGAGTGGGAAATACTTTGGGCTTGTCGTGCTGCGTATGAACAAGCTCTCACCCACGTTGCAGTTGCATGCAGCCCAGTCGCCTTGTTCGCGTACGCAAAAGTTCTTGAATCTTTGGGCAGCTTCACAGGCGCATTGACAATCTGTGCGTCGATTCTCCAGACTTTTCCGAACTTTGACCAGCTACGAGAAGTCAAACTTCGCTTCGTTCTTCTCCAACGTTATCAACTCTTCTCACCAATGGATCCTGCTCTAAAGCTTCCAGTACTAACGAAATGCATCGGATACACCCAGGAATTGTTGTTAGATAAAGTTATCACTGAGGTAAGTCTAATACCCCTGTGTTAGCATTTTGTAACGTGTAACACAAATTCCACGTCTTTAGGGACCACGATATATCACCGTGATGTACTTGCACACGCGGTTAAACGAAATGCTACAAGACCTCTCGACGCCTTCTCCAGTAATATCGAAGCCAAAGCAAGGCCACATTAATGTCGATGTTTTGTTTCAAGAGCTTTACAAATTGGCCAAGAAAACCTCCGAAGTTACTCCTCCATCTGGCATTAAGTGGAAGGCATGGATGACCCGTAGTGAGACGTATACAATATTTGCAGAGTATTTTCGATCGCAGGGCGAAAGCATTCTCGCATCTGACGCGTTATCTCGCTCGCTCGAGCTATTAGAAGAAAGCGAAAGCTCTCAGAAGCCAGCAAATCTATGGAGGGGTTTGACGAAAGAGCAGCGACAAAAACGTGTTGCATTGTACGTTGTGCTTGCACGCAACTACTACCAGTGCAACCAAATGGAGAAGGCAATTCGATCCATGGAGGCTGTGTTTGACCTTGATCCTCTTCATGCCGAAGCCCGCGCATGTCTGGTGGAATGGTTTCCTACAAAGTGGCAGTACGTGACACCCTGCTAGCCTTCTAATGTCAAACTTCGGTGTTAATACAAGTCATTGCTACAGATACCGACTTGAGCTGGAAGATGCTAGTCAGGTGCAAATTGCTCGAGTGATTCGAGGTATTTGGGGCCGAAAGATAGCGCTTATACGTCGCCGGGGGGTGAAGCGAGTAGCCGAGCAACGGTATCGAGAAAATCCTTATCATCTGGGCTGTCGACGACAGGTTCTTCGTCTGCTTCGAGACAAATACGCATCATTATTTGCAGCTCAGGAGATGGCAGCTCGGCGTATTCAGCGTCGTACATATCGATATCTCCACTACGCGCGAGTGAGATGGAAGCTAGAAGACCAACGTGAGAAAACTCTCCATGATCTTGTAAGTTCTAGGATACAAGTGAATGTAATGGTGTTGTGGATCGCGCTGACTTCAGTTGACTGCAGAAAAGCAAACACCAGACACGGAAGTATCGCTACAACCGCCAAGTTCGCAGTCAACTGGCAGCTTTACTCCCTAATGAGTACGAGCATCGCTTCTTTCGAGAAGATTGCGCAGCTCTGCGCATTCAGGTGGGTTAAGAACTGCATTCTGGTCGACAAGTTCAGCTTATGTGATGACCTCAGTTTAATTTTTTATTTTTTTTTTTTCGTGGAATCCAGAGATGTTTCCGAGGCAACAGAACTCGGAAAGTATTCTGTCGTCTTCGAGATACTCGGAGACAACACATCCTACGCCAGCACGACGCAGCACAGCGAATTCAACGCTTTTTCCATCGATTCTGTTGGCCAACTAACTCTTCTCCACCAGTGGACGATCTTCTCTTTCGTGCACAACAAAAACTAGTTCGTGATAGGGAACGCCTTGCAGCGATGCTCCTGCGTTTCTATCGTCGTTGGAAAAGTGCAAACACGCAAAGGCAATCGGTATTGCTGTATGCATTCCAAGCTGAGGCCACCGAACAGCACCGGATTATTGTCGAAAACTCCAGTGCTCTGAAGATTCAGCGCTTGTGGCGTTGGTACACAGCCAGAAAAGTGTTAGTTGATGGGACCAGTAGCCAAGCCCAAGTATTTCTCGTCGAGCACTTATTCTCCGCACAAAGACGACAGACTACGTTTGAGGTAGATCTCAGCCGTGCAGCACGGAAGATCCAAGCGGTATATCGCGGTAAACGCATACGAAGGTTCTTGCGGATACTACGTGCCAGAACCGCAGCACTACCATGTGCTAGTCCAATTGGCGTGTTGATCAGTAAATGCGAAGTGAATCATCAAAAAGGGACGGAGACGATGGCAAATCTCTACGCGATCGACAGTCGGGACGAGAAACGCTCGCTGTTCGATCATCCTGTTTTAGTGTTTCGTGGATCTCATGTACCACCACGACCCAATTCTCCATCGGGAGGTGAAAGCTTCTCGTTACAGCACGTGATTTCTGCGATTCAGTACAGTTCTGTGTTAAAGTCTCTGATCTGTGCAAGTGGCGACTTCAAAGGTGATCGAATCCTGAAGTTCCTCCAGGCTCTTCAATCTAGGAGGACCTTGAGGATACTGGCGTTGGGCGACATCAGCATTGGAGAGAAAAGATCCACGAATCAAGCTCCTGACATAATCCATGACAAGGATATTGACGAAAGAAGTACACATACGCCACCCTCTCCACTCGGACGACAGCTATTAGTGTTGGCCCCACCGTCTTCTCCAGTTCCTCATCAACAGCGTCATCTTAGTCCCATGCAACTTCTCTCCAAGTCTGTGTGTACATCGAATTTCCTGCTTGAGGAGTTGTATCTGGAACGTAATGAGCTACTTAGAAAGCCTCAAGAAGGTGCTATCGTTGCTAGGATAGTAGCCGACTACTTTTTCGCGAGATATGGCCACCTCCACACGCTGGTTATCGCCCACATGCATTTTTCAGATACCAACGGTGCACTTCTCGGTGCTGCATTGGCAATCAACACTGTACTACAGAGACTGGATCTTCATGGAAATTTACTCTGCGATGGAGCTGCCATTGCAATTGCAAACGATGGACTCACACACAACAAAACACTCCAATATTTGAACTTGGCCGAGAACAGAATCGGCAGCGCTGGAGGGAAAGCACTTCTCAGATGCTTGAACACCAGCAACCGATCGCTACAAACGCTCATTCTGCGCAATAACTACCTGACAGACGACGTTGTATCGGTGTTGGTTGAAATATGGCAAGTCAACGCGGTGATTGAGAGTATTGAACTATCAGGGAACCTCATCAACGACGGATTCTTAACGGAGATACACGCTGCTGTTGTTGAACGGCGGGAAGCTGCACCATCAGCGGACAACCAGGAGCTGCGTCTTCTGTTCGCCCGCAAGCGCTTCGGTATTCGCGACGTTCGCTCTCCTATAAGTCGAAGAGGAGTCGGCTTCAATCCACTCATATCACCTGGAAAGAGTCGGAATACCAGGAAGAAGAAATGTACTCCTCTGTCTCCAAAGAAGTGGCTTAGTGCCAACACGCCCAAGCTCATATCACCAATCGCCTTCCCAACGTCGACAAGACAAACAAGTGATGTGTTTCCTACCACAGCATTTGCTTATGCCTCTCCTGTTCGACCACGTAAACTGATGAAGGAGATGCCATTGTCACCTGCTCGGTTGTCAAAACTCCCAGCATTGTCAGCTTCACTTGAAAAGAAGCGAATGGCTTGGTAAGCCTGCAATAAGTGCGTTTATAAGGCTAACAGAGCGATATATAGCCGAGTAAGCTGTGATAACAATAAAACACTACTCCTTGTTGGCAGTAGACTCCTACAACTTCAATAGGTGGAGCCTGCGGCGATCGTGCCGACTCTCATGACGAAGGTGCCCATGAGGATGAACCCGTTCTGGAACACGATCGCAGCTCCAGGCCACGCTGACTCGTGGAACTCGTTGTTGACATAAGTGTGTGTGAATATCAGTACCGACCCCACCAGTGCCGCCACCGACAGCGCCATGCAGAACACCACGAAGCACCTGCCATCAGCAGCAACAAAAAATATTCATAAGAAAGAAAATTACTATTTTCTTGACACTATTGACCAGTATTTGCTGACCGAGCTCGAGTGGCCACCTCAGAGCCGTAGGCGAAGCGTGCATCCTCCGATAGCATGCCCCAGTCCACCGTGTTCACCCTGGAGCAACAACAAAGAGTTAAAAAGCATGAAAGATACTTTTCCGAAGTACTACTATTCCTTACAGAAAGAAGGCGAGAGTCGAGACGATGCCCGGCAAGTACTTGACGAAGTTGAAAGGGATCTGCGAGTTATGGAAAGCCGCAAATGCCTCGCCGTCGGCCAGTATCCACCAGCCCACACCCACTAGCAGCCCCGCCGCATAGCTCCCCGCCTTGCCCGGATCCACTCCCATCGTTGAAGTCGAAGTACTATTCTGACAAGCATCACTCACTTCAGTGTCCTCTAAAACCTCTCTTTAACGACATCCCTCAACATCCTATATCCTATCAACCAGCTTACACTTCACCTTCAGCAATCTATTTTGCAATCATTATCCAACACCATGGAGCTATCTCGTGCCGAGAGCGCGCTGCGGACGCTCAAGAACCGCCCCAAGGTGTCGCAGCCTGCGGTCGACACGGCTCTTGCTGTCCTTGAGCTCATCTGCCCTTCGAAGACCCTCTCCGAGTCCCCCACACAGACGTCAGACGTCTCTCCGTCGGCTGACGAAGAGACACGACGTGATCTTCTTCAGGAGGAGCTACAGACGCTGCTACTGCACGGCAAAGAGCGTTGGGAGCCCGTCGCCGTGTTCCTCGTGGTAGTACGTGACCTACTGAGCCGTCACCTCGAACTACCAGACCTGGACGCCAATACAGACTTCAGTGTGCCCACTCCTGCCCTTCCGCTCTATGTCTCAACTATCGCGCCGCTGTCGGACGCCTTCGTGACGCAGACAGTCAAGCAAACCATCCACCAACACATGGAGTACTACGAGCCTCGAGTCCGCATGGCAGTGGCCAAATTACTCGGCGTCTTGGCCAAATGGGACCTGCACTGGGTAACTCACGAGTTCACGCCACAGATCGTAGACTCGGTCGTGTCCAACCTCAGTCGCTCGCCTGATTTCGAAGAAACAGGCTTCGATGAACTGGACGACAACGTCAGTAACAATGGGATGATCACGCCGCCTCAAAGTCCTGAGGGAACGCCACGCACCCCCTCCACTCCCTACAGATTGGACGATGTCAGTGGCTGGAAGGCTCTGGAGAGCTCATTGTGTGCTCTGAAATACATCATCAAGGGCAGTGGTGTGGACTTCTTGAAGGAGAAGACGACGGACACTGGAGACAAGGAGTTTGTCTACTTAACGCCACAGATTCTGGAGCTTGTGGCGACCAAGAGCTGCTTCCACATCAATCGCCACGTCCGAGTCGTGGGACTGGACACTATCACTGTACTGTCAGATATTGCACCTGTGGGGTTCCTGGAAACCCATCAGAGCACCGTGAGCGACACTCTGAACAAGTGTATCAAGCGTGGCATGGAGGATAACTGGTGTCAAGTGCGTTATGCTGCGTCCATCTCAGCTCGTACCTTCTTAATGAAGCTGCAGGAGAAGGGACGTGACGCTTATCTGCCTATTCTACTGCCCAGACTCTGTCTCAACCGCTACTACATCGCTGAACGCGTGCAGAAGTACTCACAAGAGTCGTGGAGAATGATCATGGGCGATCAGGGACGCGAACTGGTGGCCAAATATGCCACGGAGATCGTGGACTATTACGTGGAGATGACAAGCCACTGCGTCCGTGAATCGGCGTGTCAGTGTATTGCTGAGCTTGGAATGAAGGTCGATCCTACTGCCATTCGTCCGCATGTCAGTCGACTGATGCAAGCTCTGCTCATTTGCTTCTACGACGTGTCGAATCTGGTGCGTGACGCTGCGTGTTTAGCGTCAGCTCAGCTGGTTCTGGGCTTCCCCGACGAGTGTCGTCCGTTCCTGGACGAGTTGTATCATCTGTGGATCGACCATCTATCGGACGACATTTGGTCTGTGCGTGAAGACGCAGCTATCGCTCTGGGCAATGTGATCCGTGCTTACGGCCAAGAAGCTCTGGATCGCGTCATCAAGGTCATGGAGGAATACTTGCCACTCGCCAAGAAACAGCCAGCGATGACGCAACAGGAATACGACGAGATCATGCGTTCCGAGAAGAAACACTTGAGTAAGCAGGCCTTCTCTTGCTGCTCGCTGGAGCCAAAGCTGTTCGAGCGTCATGAACATCGCGACAAGGAGCCGTGGGAGCACACTGACGGCGCGATCTACATGGTACGCGAGTTGTGCTCTGTGGCTCCCGAGCACGCTGTGAAGTACCTTCCGCAGGTTGCAGACATTGCGATCCTGCGTCATTTCCCTCAGACTGCAGTCTTGCAGGAGACGATCTGGAAGCAGCTCCCGATGATGTGCGAGGCGCTGGGCAAGAAAGTATTCAAGCGCTATCTCGAGCTCTTCTTCGACCCCTTGGTTTTCACTCTGCAGGGCACGAGCCGTCTCACCAAGTTCGCAGCTCGTGACTGTGTCGCTCAGATCAGCAAGCAGATCGGACCCAGCATTTTCCTGGGACGTCTGGATGCCAACCCAGCGTGGAAAGAAGCACTGGGGCCTGTTGTGCCGGTGCAGTCGTACATGATCAAGTAATGTCCTCGACTAGCTATGGAGTTCCGGAGTTTACCGACGGTAAGGAATGCAGGAGCGAAAGAAGTCAATGGATTTTTTTCTTAACTTCAGAAATGTTTTCTTTTTCTGCTAGCTACTGATTGGTGGTACTTGGGATTCTTTTGACGGTTTTGCTGCTGCTTGGTCGACGTTGTTGAATACTCAGGCACGTCGATATTCCACGGGACCTTGAGGTGTCACCACAACCGGCACTTGACCTTCGTACTGTGGCAACTGCTGCTTCTTCTTCTTCCGATACACAGTGCAGTACCACATCGACGCATTCCCCGCGATAAACGCGCCGACGATCAGGATCAAGCTCAATATTCCGTTCATGAAGGTTGTTTCTCTCAAAGAAAAGAGGAAATGAGAAAAAAAAATGTGGGACAGGATTCAAATTCTCGTATAATAATTCGCTTTCTTATTTTTTGTTGATGAATTATGTCGTCTACAAAGCAAAAAAAAAGAAAAGAAAAAGATATACGAAACAGCTTTGATTATTTCTAAAGGCGTTGTGGTTGCAACGCATTCGTTCGCATGGGTAGCGTAGCTTCTCACTGCGTCTCGATCGCCAGTGCGAGTCGAGTTCGAGAAGGAATTCTGGTCGCGCTTGGGCGGCATTTCAGTGGAGATCAGGATGTCTCCAGCCAGTCAGCGCGATCGTGGCTGAGCGCGTGCTTTGAACGATACGATGAGGTCCGTTACAGTTAACGAGTAGCGGGTTATCATTATTTAACGATATGCTTATTCTCCACAGAATAGTGCTGGCTTTGTATCGAGTGATGCAATGCTCAACGTAGTCGCCGAGCTCTCGCTGTTCCGGATTCAGGACTGGTCTGCGGACGAAGTATCCACGTTTTGCTCCTTCTTCTTTCGAGGTGAAGATGTTGAGCGGAACTTCGACTATCGACTGTTTCTAGACTACCTCTTTTTCCCTGTTTCCCA